ATCTTGTTCTGTATTTGATCTTACTGATTTTGGAACAACTTTTCTTTGACCGTCACCAATTTAGTTCCTAATGCAATCTATTGGACTCTTTTATAGGAAAACACATTACTGTATTCTGTTGGAATTAGATCTTCTGCATGACAGAGTTTCTAGTTGATCTGACCTCTTTTTTTTTTTTTTTGTTAGTCTCTTCTGTCATCTCTTATAGTTCTGTTGTATCTTAGAAACGTCTACAAATAATAACGGGGAGAAGCAGTGCACTGCTATCAATCCTTTGTAATGGCAGAAGAGTAGTTATAATTCCTCCCATGGAGCGCAACAGTTTCTTATTTACCCCTAATACTACTAGTTGTAGGTATGTTTTTTCTGCTCACATGGTTGGTGCTTTATATAATCATTTCTTCATTGCTATTTGGACTGTACTTGCTTTATTTTTTGATAGGAAGGGATCTCGTCCTAGACGTCCTTGTAACACTTGGAAACAAAGGGAGGTTGAGGCTGTGGCAGTGCAAATTAGATTGGCATCATCTGTTATGTCACCACACGCTTTAAATGATATGGATAGAATCCCTGCATAGAATTGTCAGCACTAACCTACGGATCTTTTGACTTAAGCAGATCTGCATGAGCCACATCACATGGCTTTGCAAGAATATGTGGCTTCTGAGCTTTAAGACCTCTAGACTAGTCTAGAACCTTAATCAATCTTGATACTCATCTGAAGACTTTTGTGTAAATATGTGAAGAAAAAGACATCTCTTAAATAAAATCTGAGAGTTGAATATATGTATATGAGCAAGAAAACCACAAAATACTACATCTCTTTATAGCCACTATTTTAGGAGGTGCATACGTATTTCCGCACAGAGCATGTTCAACAGAAAAACAGCACCTATTTTTGAAGGTTACTACGAATCATGATAGGCTATTTGTGGCATATACAACTTCACTCAGGATTGATTGTGTTGATAGATGTCAAGAAAAATAAATGAAGGAATTACTAGCATCTGTCACATTTGACCTTGCATCTTGAAATCTGAAGGTAGTTTCTTGTGCTAGTGTTGTTCCTTTTGTTCCTTTTTTTGTTCCTTTTTCAGGAACAGAAGGAATTTACTTTCTTGGAACCCTTTAATCTTAAAAGCACTGTTTTCAGGTCATTTATAGTTAGTGCTTCCTCCCCCCACTGAAGAGCTCAAATCATTTCACTAAGTTCTGGAGGAAAACAAAAGTGTTGTGTTTATTTTGCAGATGCCTGGACTAAACCATAAGAAGCAGAAAGACCAAAGTGTTTATATTTGGGATACTTAACAGGTACTTAAACTAATTTTTAGGTATCAAAATATGTCTCAGAAAATTTGCAACACGTTTTACTCTCAGAAAATTCTAAATCTGGAGTTTGAATCATTCAGTTTAAATGTATGCACTTGAGAAATTCAGATGAACTGGAAAGTAATGTGGCTTTATGGATTCACTAGAAAATAAGCTTTCCATCCTAGCTGGCCAGGTACCACTAATCCTTGTTTAAGAGGAGGACCTTCAACTGTTGTAGACAGAAAAGTGGCAGGGCTCTAGCTTTCCCTGTGCTATTAACCAGCTGTTAGCCCCTTTCAATCTGTCAAATTAAATGGAGAGAATAAAGTGCGTCATTTGTGTCTCTCTCCTCCCATCCCTTCTCAAAAGATACCATCCTTGTTATCTTTGAAGAATCAATCCTTTTCATAGCAGATACGCATATTTGGAAACAAATTCATCTCCACCTAACAAAAGCTTGATTATTTCAAAACCTCAGC